GTAATAAATACGAATTCAGTGCACGTGTCACTTATATATCGACGTAAATTCATTCTTCTAGTAATAAATACGAATTCATTCTTATGATAGTAAATACTATGATGACTAGAAAGATTTAGGAGCTGGTCCTAATTTAACATGTGCGTTGTAATGGGAAAACGCTTAGATCAAGTGAGTTATATGTTATAACCTGATAAGGAACTATGACAAAGAAGAGACTCCTCTTGAAAAATCCAATGATGACTAACTATAGGCTATAGCACAAACTTTGTGCCTGAAAGATGAGCAACATCATATAAATGATCTAAATTATGTCCACACACTGTAGAGACGTATGGTATGACAAAAACAGTGAAAATGTGAAGGTTGTAAACTTGTGAGAAACTTCAACGTGATTATGCATTACCTACTGAAGAGCATCATTGCTGACGTGGAACTAATTACCATATAAATCAATATATCATATTCACTTGTGGGCCTCCTTTTTTATCGTCAGCAAATCTCAACCAAGTAAAGATATCTGTAATAGAATAATAGATCTGATTCTTCACTATTCCATCAAAATGATCATCTCCGTGTGGATTTGGTGCTTCATCTACTAAAAATCTGAAGTCAATATGCGTAGCTTGTACACAAACCATTACATAGCTCACGAATTTCTAATAGAATAAATTCACCCGTCGATGTGAAGAGAATGTATCTGACTATGCATATGCAGAAAATCCTAACTGTAGTATTCTACCTCGAACACTAATTGCTTGAATTATGTCGGCATGGTAGAGCTTGTCGTAAATCATATGAAAGCTGACCTGGAGAGAGGTAGAACAGATCCCAAACTTCCTATAGAGACGTATGTATTTGTGCTAAGTGAGAAGCTAGGCTGGTTTACAATTATATATTATGCATGTAGTTTCTAATGATAATAAAATGAAATAAAAGCAAGGTTCTCGTTTTCTCACCGTTTGGTTCAACTACTACAATGTTAATGTCTGTAGAGAAGAAAACGCAGCACATGAAAAGAACGACATCAACTTGCCTTTATTTTCGTAGAAAAAAGAAAAGCTTATGTTAACTTAGCATCAACCTAAACATGTTACAAAAAAAATCTTCGAGGCATGCCATTACATGTGACAGTATCCATGGTCTTACTCACGTAGTTGGACACAATGCTGACCGGCTACATATCCTTCCTCGAATGCTGACAAGAGATTTTAAGTTGTATATGTTATACAAAAATAGATGGAGCTTTTAAAACATATAACTGTCACGTACAAGTACCTAGCTCCACGACCAAGCATCTACTAAAAAGCTAAAGATCTATGGATCCATGCATCAGGTGAGATTGCAATGTCGTTTATCCTGATGTGCATACCATACTACAGACTCATAACAGAGAGCAACACAGAGGTTCCATGAAAGTGCAGCTCTTAGATGTTTCACTACCTGCCATCGATGAAGCTAAAGATCCTTGCAGGGCTGAACGGCGGCAGCGGTGGCAGCACCGAGAGCGTGTCAGCGTGAGGAGGAAAAGTTAGGGTAGATGGAATAACAAAATGATGTTTTTTCCTCATTCCATGTCATACATGCAGCTTCATTATTTGGGAGGAAAGTCCAAGGCACTCACGCATGTCTGTAGTTTTTTTCATGTGTGTGGAAAACCTATGCAAGTCACGTCACCTATGTAGAATTGATATTAAAGGTACGTGAATGTTATGTTTTTTCTCATAATGGCAATGGTGGGTAATTATTTTCACTTAAAACACATCTAATGACTATAAATTTTTAGTGTATTAAATAAATGGCTGGATGTTTCTGATTTTTGTGGAATTTTCTAAGAAATTCTCTTTTTTCTGGTGAGCCCATTAAAGGTACGTGAATGTTATGTTTTTTCTCATAATGGCAGTGGTGGGTAATTATTTTCACTTAAAACACATCCAATGGCTGTAAATTTTTAGTGTATTAAATAAATGGCTGGATGTTTCTGATTTTTGTGGAATTTTCTAAGAAAATCTCTTTTTTCTGGTGAGCCCGTCAAGCACTTTTTATATATAAATAGACGCCGATGCTGACAAGAGATTTTATGCTGTATATGTTATACAAAAATTGATGGAGCTTTTAAAACATATAACTGTCACGTACAAGTACCTAGCTCCACGATCAAGCATCTACTAAAAAGCTAAAGATCTATGGATCCATGCATCAGGTGAGATTGCAATGTCGTTTATCCTGATGTGCATACCATACTACAGACTCATAACAGAGAGCAACACAGAGGTTCCATGAAAGTGCAGCTCTTAGATGTTTCATTACCTGCCATCGATGAAGCTAAAGATCCTTGCAGGGCTGAACGGCGGCGGCGGTGGCAGCACCGAGAGCGTGTCAGCGTGAGGAGGAAAAGTTATGGTAGATGGAATAACAAAATGATGTTTTTTTCCTCATTCCACGTCATACATGCAGCTTCATTATTTGGGAGGAAAGTCCAAGGCACTCACGCATGTCTGTAGTTTTTTTCATGTGTGTGGAAGACCTATGCAAGTCACGTCACCTATGTAGAATTGATATTAAAGGTACGTGAATTTTATGTTTTTTCTCATAATGGCAATGGTGGGTAATTATTTTCACTTAAAACACATCTAATGGCTGTAAATTTTTAGTGTATTAAATAAATGGCTGGATGTTTCTGATTTTTGTGGAATTTTCTAAGAAATTCTCTTTTTTCTGGTGAGCCCGTCAAGCACTTTTTATATATAAATAGATGTTGCTTTTTCTCCGGCTTGCTCTGATTCACACGTTTTATGTCTTTGGGCAAAGAGTGATGTATCTCTCATCTTTCTTTCCCTTTGGAAAAGATTATCTGATGCAGCTGCATAGCACTTTAGTTTGGTCAGTGCTCACTGCTCATTTGGAAAACCAGCTAGCTAGCTAGCTAGTGTTGTACCACATCACAGGTTCCTCCAAAATATATGTGATCAATCGTCATTGATGGGAAGTCCTCCTACACCATCCAACCGGCAATGTGCATTCGGATCTCCACTATGTCCATAGTGTCTTTTGTTGCAACTAAATTCTTGTTTTTTGAGCATATATAATTATTAAAATTACACATTTTTAATATACACAAAATCAGCTGAATTTTCGTGTGGCGAACTAGGAAAATATTGCACGGTTTTTTTCAACGTACTTGACATCCTAGAATTCATGCCGCCAGTTTCTTAAAAAATATATAATTTTATTTACCATTCAAACATTTTCATAATATAAGTTGTGAAGTGGGCGGTGATTATAATAATCCCAGTTGTCATATATACCATTTATTGCCTACACTAGTAGAAAAAGGCCCATTTGTCCCGATTCATGAGGCCCATTTGTCCCGGTTGCCGAACCGGGACTAAAGGGTCGGTACTAAAGCCCAATACCTTTAGTCC